GGTTCTCTTTTGCCTAATCTTCGGTTGGATGTCGTTGTTGATCATTGTGAATATGGATGAACTGTTTTCTCTTTTTTCTCTCAACCTATTTTATATATTTCACAGCATTTTCTTCCTTATTTTCCTGTCGGTGTTCTTCCTCCTCCTCTTTCTCTTACGAAAGACCTTTATGATATCAATGATGTAGTTGATGTTACTTGGTGGTGACGATGGTGGTGGTGATGATGACGATGGTGGTGATTGGTGGTGATGATGGATGATGTGATGATGACGATGGTGATTACTGATAGACAATCCTCGTAGTGACCCTTTGACCTCTGGCTGGCACCACGACAGCAGTGTTTTACTATGGGGGGATTTTTTTTCTCCCGCTCTTTGTGATCCCCGTGTGCATGTCTGTACGTCCGGCGTGGGTGTGGATGGGGACGTGTGTGGGCGTGGGTCTGTGTGTTTTGCTTTACATTTCAGTTAGTTATTCTTCCATAGCTTGCAAGGGGGATGAGAAACAACAAAAAAAGCAGTTTGGTACATTGCAATACACAGCATTGCAAAGCCGACAGTCATGTTGTGGATTTTAGTACGGCGGAGATAAGATCGCCGCCGCCAGCGCCCGCCCGCCCGCCCTCCTCCCTCCGCGTCGGCCGGGGAAAGCTTTCGATGTGCGGGGCTTTGTAAACATCACGTCGCGGCCGCTGTTTCCAATATGCTGCTGCTGCTGCTCCTCTCCGCTCGCTAAACGTATTACCATCATCTTTAGCTTCGCTCGTTCTTCTGTGTTCTTTCGTCGCGGTGTTCTTCGTCTGGAGGTTTCTTTGTTTCCCTTTGGCGCTTCCCCGGTGATCCATTTTTGTTTTTTTTTTTTTTCTTTTTCGTCTACTCCTTCTTCTTCTTCCCGCTTTGTCCGTATTGATATGGTTTCGCGCTCACTTTTTTCTCGTTCTTATGTTGTTGTTTTTCTTTTTTCTTTCTTTCTTCCCGTCTCTTTCTTTGTCTTACTCTTTCGGCCTCGTCCTCTTTTTCCTCTTCGGTTCCTCATTCTCGTGACCTCTCTTCCTCTCCTTTCTCCTGTTCGTACGCTCATCCATTTTCCTATTTCTTTTTCATATATCTTATTTCCTATTTTTGGTGATGGTCGTGTGTCTGTCTGTCCATGTGGTTGTGTGACTGTGTGTGTGCGTGTGGTGTGCGTGCGTGTGCGTGTTGGCCTGTTTTGTGTGTGTGAGTGAATATGAGAAAGGATAATAGATAGGAATCGATGAGGAGTCTAGCGGGTGTGTCCACGGGGAGAACGGGAGGGTGGGGGTAGGGTGGGGAGGGTAGGGGAGGTGGGGGATCCTGGATGGGCAACGTATTTTTTTTGTGTGTGTAGGTGGTTGGGGGGCGGCGGGCTGCG